TCTCTCTCTCTCTCTCTCTCTCTCTCTCCACGCTACTACTCTTTCTCTCCCTCTCATCGCGCGATCTGACATTTAGCAGAATTTCCAACGATGGCCATTCGTGATTAAGTAAGGCGATGCGATGCCATGCCATGCCATGCTTCTTGGCTCAACCACCGGGAACTTCGTTGCGCCTGACGCCCATGCTGAAGGTGCCCGGCTTCTCGCCCACCAGATCATCGTACCACTCTTTGTCCAGGCCTGCCTTTCGCCTGTCGTCGGCGTTAAAGGGGCCCTTGAGACGGCCGATAAAGTTGCGGCGCACCTCGTCGCGGAAGACCTGGACGGGATCCATGGCGGGGTGGGCATGTGCGCAGAGCCAGGTGAGCCATCGATGCCCCGCCGAGACGTGCGTGATCTCGTCGAGGTGGATGACGGTGAGCGTCTTGACGCTCTTGGCGTCGCCTGCGTTGTCGAACTTTTTGATGGTGGTGGGGTTGACGTCGAGGCCGCGTGCCTCGTGGACAAGGTGGATGATGGAGAGGCGCGCGGTGAGCGAGTGTGCTGTCTCCATGGCCGAGTCCCACAGGCCGTGGTGGACGGGAAGCGCTCCAAAGTAGCTGCCCATCTCGCCGAGCCGCTCGACGAGCAGCGAAAAGTGCTTGGCCTCGTCCTCGGCCACTTTGACGAAATCGCTAAAGAACTGGAGCGGCAGCCTGGCGTTGGCTGTTTCGCCCGCCTCGTCGTCGTCGTGCTCGCTGAAGAAGCGGGCGCAGAGCTGCGGTGCGCGTGCGATAATGTCCCACGCCAGGTCGATGGCCCACTGCTCGATGTTGGCGAGCGAATGCAGGATCGCGATGCGGCTCTTTTCCGTGCCGCCGCGGCCGCGCTTGGCTTCCTGGCCCGGACGCACGCACACCTCGTCCTTGAGCCGCGGTGGACGCTCGGGCGGCGTCTCTTGCGGTTTGACCATCCACTCGGTGCGTGTGCCTGCCACCTCGTCGCTCGTCTTCCATCGTCCGCCGCCGATCAGCTTGCACTCGCCCGAACGGAATGCCTTGGCTGCGAATCGCGTGTAGGCCACCTTTTTGGCGGGCTCGGGCGTGTTGAGCACCAGCACCGCCCACTCCACCAGCGTCTTGGGCCGCGGCGACGGCGGCGCCACTTCCCTGTCGGCGACCGCCTCAGGCTGCGGTGTCGATGAAGAGAGGGAAAGCTGCGCTGCTTCGAGATGGAGTGATTGCGCCGCATCTTGGCGCGATGCAACGCCGGGCGACGCCTCGCTGACCGGACGCAGCTCGATCGTCTCCCATTGCTTTGGGTCTGCAATTGCCTCATTCGAGCACGGCTGGGGTGCCTCGATCCACAAGGTCTGTTCGCGCACCTGGCACTTGTACACGCAGGCCGAGATGCCGTGCGAGGACTCGCCCGTGGAGAGGCTAAAGTCGTACTCGTGCCACGGACACACCACCACCATGTCCTCGATGTCGTCGTCCTCCTCGTCCACATCGTTGGCTTCGATCGTCGCGTTCTCTAGCGGGGCGCCGAGATGCGGACACGTGGCCTCCATGCAGTAGAATGCGTCGTGGTGTGGCTGCGGTGTGGATGAGGATGTGGCGCTGGGAAATGAAAAGATGAGCAACGAGTGGTACTCGTGCGTGTGCGGATGGCGCAGAGTAAGGTGGTGTCGCGACGACGCCGCCAGCTTTTCGAGCGGCGCCACTCGCAGCCACGCCTTGACGTCCGTCATCACGGCGAGAGGGGGAGAGGGCAAGAGGGGGAGAGGGGGATGGCTGAGATGGTGGTCGAAAGCGAAGAGCACTTCTTCTTCTCGGCGATCTTTTCTCCACATTATTTTTTGAAAAATCGATTTTTTGATTTTTTTTAATTCTCAGAAGTGATTGCAGGGTCCAACAGCTGAGCAGCCGCAGCGGGGCGATTGGACAGGCTGTGGAGCAGTGTGTGATAGCAATGGTGCGCTTCAAGGCGAGACCAACACGGCACCTCACACACGCGCCTCCTCCTCCTCCTCCCCCTTCACCACAACCACCACCACCGCTGCGCACGCCGCAGTCGCGCCACGGCCATGTCGTCGCCTCATCTCTCCATCCCGCCTTGATCTGTTATACCCCCGCCCCCGAGCGTGCTTTCAACCATGGCCAGCGCGTTCACACGGCTCTTCTTGCCGTCCCACCGCAAGAACAACAACAACAACACCAGCTCCAACACCAACTCCAACTCCAACTCGCGCCGTCACGATGCAAGCCGCGCACGTTTCCCAACCTCGTCCACCTTCGATCTGCGCCATTCCATCCCAGAAGAATCCGCCTCCGCCACCGACGCCACCTTCCCCGCACTGCCCTCGTCCAGCTCGCTCACGGTGCACCATCTCAACCGGCACGTCTCGCCGCCCATCACCGATGCCACGCTCAGGCGCAACTCGCTCGCATTCGAGCCGGCGCATACCCGCCCTTCACTGCCGCGCTCGTTCAGCGCGTACGACATTACGCTCCCGCCCGAGTCGGACGCGGGCAAAGCAAGGATAGCCACACCGCCAAGCCCCGCGCCGCCCGCGGTAGACGACGACGACGACCTCGATACAAACCCGCTGTACCTGCGCTTGTCCGAGCATGAGGATCTCCAGGCGGACTGGAGCGCAGCTGAGGTAGCGCTGGTGCCGCTCGCTAGGGCGATGGCGGCGCATAGCGCGGTTCAGCCACAGGATCTGGATGACCCGGCATACATAGCTCTGCATGCTTTTGCGCCGTCCAAGCTGTACAAGCATCAGTTTGTCTCGGTCCGCTCCGTGCGATCATCCGCCGAGGTTGCGGATGCAGGGCAGTACGACTGGAGCCGCATCACGCTTACTGCCACGCTCGATGCGGATCGGCGATCCATCACCATCGTCCAGTCGCCCGCCTCAGCCACGCGCACCGTCGCCATCCTGGGCGAAACGACCATCTACCGTTCCACACCCACCGCTAAGGTGCGTGTCTTTTCCGTCGATTTGCCCATCGTCCATCGCCTGCCTGCCACCAATGCTACCCCACCTCAATCCGACGAGCAGCCGGACGAGGCGGACCAGAGCGTGTCCGACCTCATTCTGCGCCACGTCGCAGCCGAGCGCGTGTTTGCAGCCGATCTGGTGCTGCTCGCGCATCCGCACACGTCGTCGGCGCGGCTGGACGCTGCGCTGTCCGGGGCATTCAGCGTGCTGGTCGCCGCTGCACACCAGTTTACCGCGTCGTTCGTCTACGTGCGCGGCTTCGACAGCTACAACGCGCACCGCATCCGCCGCGGCATCTGGTTCAAGGCATGGAAGGCGTTCGAGGAGCGCCTGGGCAGCGAGCATGTGGCGAGGTTGGGCGTGGAGCCGTTTCACCGCATCAAGTCGGTGCTCGAAAGCGTCAGCATGGGTCTGGTGCACACCAAGATGTACGGCCCGATTCAGGATCAGCTGCTGGATGCGGACCTGGTCACCGACGATGTGCTGGCCGCGTGTGCGGCAGCGAATCTGAGCATGGGAGATTTGGGCGTGGAGAATGCTGCGCTGCGCAGTCGGCCCGATCGTCTCACGCGCGCCGTGGAGGTGCTTGCAACCGGCTTGGCCGACGATGGCGGGAGCGAGGTGGACGATGCATTGGCCACGGCGGATGAAGCTGCAATGCGCACGCTGGCGCAGCGACAGGTCGCGCCGACCGTGCGGATCCACAGTGATCTTGGAATTGATGCGGCGACGCAGGGGGTGTCGTTGCACCGACGCACGCCCTTGCACATCCTCCAGACTCTGCGCGCCGTGATCGACGAGGTCGGCTGGGCGGCCGAGCGCGCCTCGTCCCGCGGCGATGCACCGCCGCTGGGGACGGACGATCTGCTGCCCATCCTGAGCTACGTGTTTGTGCGCGCGCGTCCGTCGCGACTGTGTAGCATGCTCTACTACGCGCGCGCCTTTACGCTCACCGATACCGCCACGGCGCCGGCACTGCAATGGGCACTCGTCACGTGCGATGCCGTCGTAGCCTACCTGCGCACCGACCCTTTCCGGCTGGTGAGGCGGCGCTCGAGTGCAGGCACCGAGTCGGTGCGCAAATCCACCTCGACCAGCGCGGGCGATGCACTGCTGCGCTCCTTGTCTTCGCGATCCCAGGCGTCAAGTGCGAATCTGATGGTTGCAGCAGGTATGGCTCGTTCGCCATCCGGTCCTTCCGCATCGGTGGCCTCACCACCACCTTCTCCGCGATCCCCATACCCCGAGGAAGAGGGGGAAGAGTTTAAGCTGCCTGGATGGCCGGCCAGTCGACGCAACAGCCGAATCCTCGCTCGACCTGCATCGGTCTTTTCACTCGAAGACGATGAATCGCTGGAGCTCGGTCGAGGTGGACGGGAACGGACATTGTCATCAAGCAGCGGAGCAGAGGTGCAGATTCGGCCTCAGATCGTTCGCACCATCAAACGCGGTAGTGTCAGTGCGCGCTTGGAGCGGTCGGGAAGTAGCGGTAGCGCAGGCGTCAAAGTCAGGGTGGTGGGATCACCCCAGCTCAGGGACAGAGAGGCGAGGCGGAAAAGTGTGGATTCTTGGAGCTTTGCGCTGTTCACACGCCGACCGGAAGGTGGTGGCGAGGTCGAGGATGCCAATTGCCAACCCAACGGCGTCGAACTGCCGCACCAACCCTCAAGCAAGCGCCGTGATGAGAGATGGGCAAAGTTGGTCACCAGCACCGTCCTGCCACCCCAGGTGGACACGAGTGCGACCAGTGCAGCTGTCTCGCCGCCGTCGTTGGAGTCTATGCATGCGCTGAGAGCGAGCATCTCGAAACCTGCATAACCCCATACACTCAGCATCCATCGCAACCTCACACACGATTCCATAGCAACAAAAGAGCCTGCATTGCGACCAAGAGCTGCGATTGAGAAGGAGGGATGCTTAGGGCATGGACTCGAACTCGGCAAGTAGAGCTTGGATGTCCGGATTGGCAAAGAGGGCGGAAAAGTCGTGCGTCTCGCCTTGCACGCGCTCCAGGCCGGGCGAGGGCGGATCGGCAAAAGGCTTGGCCTTGGACGGACTCGCGAGGAGCTCGATGATTTTGGGCGGGATGTTCTTCTTGGGCGAGGTGAGGATGGCGCTCAACTCGCGCGGTAGCGTGGCCAAGAATCCAGCATCCACCCCAGCGAGCGGGTTGGCATTGGCATCCGAGGCGTTGGCGATCTGCACGGCTGCAGCCGTACCCGTGCCCGCCACATGCGCCGCCACACCCACGCCACCGCTCGAGTTGAACTCGCTGAGATGCGTGCCAAACTCCTGCGCCGGATGCAGCGAGACGTCGTTAAACTTGTCGGCGGAAATCGAAGGTGCGCTTGCACTCGCCGCAGCCGACGACGTCGGCGTCATCTGCTGCTGTGCAGGCACGGGCATCTCGAGGCTCGTCAGTGCCCCGTCGGCGTCAATGCCAAAACCAGAAGCAGCCAGGATGCCATACGGATCCTCGAGCAGGTCAAACATGTTGGTGCTGCCCTCGGGCGAGTCGTCCGAATGCGCGGGCGACGAGCCGGAAACCGACGAGCTCCCATCCTCCACCGTCGCAGGCAGCGGTCGGCGGCGAACCACAGCAGTGCAAGGCTTGACCACCAGCTCCTTGGACTCGCTCGTCTCGGCTTGCTGCACCGCCGGCGCTGTGGTCGGCGCATCTTGCGTGGCGGGCGACGCGTCACTGGGCCAGTCGAGATCGCTCGGCGTGGGAAAGATCTCGCGCATGCTCGGCGTGCGACCCCAACCATCCACCTCGATCGAGCCCGAACTGCACGCTGTGGGCAGATCGAACGCTGGGCTGCTCGGCGGCAGATCAAGCCTGGCCAGCGTCGCCGCACCGGACTGCGGCGAGTGTGCACTGACGCTGCTCAAGTGTCGACCCAGCTTGCGGTTCGCCCGTCCGAGGCTCGGCGATGCAGGGCACGACGGCAGCCCGGCCGAGCCCTCGCGGCTCGCACTGCGGTAGGGGCCCTTGACGAATTGCGTCTCGGGCGCGTCGTCGTCTTGGTCGTCCGCATCGGCACGGCGGCGGCGCGAGGCTGCGCGCGCACTTGCCTCGACCTGCGCCTGCTTGGACGCCAGCTGCGTCTTGCCCGTAGCCTGCAGCGACGACGTCGCCTTGCCCTTGCCCTTGGCCTTGCCTGCGGCCTCCGAGGGCGAGGCGGGCGAGGTGACGTTGCTGCTGCTCTTGGCATGCGCGTTCTCCGCACCGTCGCTGCTCGAGTACAGCGCCGGATGCAGCACGCCGTGTCCCGAACGCGTCCTACTACGCGTCACCGGACTGGCACTGCTCGAGGCCACCAGCGACCTGCGACTCGGCGATTCGGGCACCTGCCCTCTGCGCTCCCTGCCAAACGACGGGCTGCCGCGCTTGGCGGTCGGCGACGCATAGGGGTTCTGCCCCGAGATGGTGCCGTGCGGGTTCTTGCGCGGGCTGCGGCGCAGGCGCAGCGGCGTGCCGTTGGCATCGCGCATGTTGCCCAGCAGCGTCCCCGGCGTCTGCAGCGGCCCCAACGGACCGAGCTCTTCAAAGTCAAAGTCGGCCTCGCTCATGAGCGTGTCGAGCATGGTGCCCGGGCTCGAGTTCATCAGATAGCTCGGCACGCGGAAGCGCACGTCGCGCGACGGACTCTCGAGCATGTGCGCGCCGAACCGGTGCAGCGCATTCACCGCCTCGGGCTGCATCAGGCTCGCGTTCATCGATGGACGCACGGGACTCGACTGCGCAAAGTTGACCATGCGCGACGCAGACGCCTGGCGCGCCAGCTGCGGCGCCATGGGCTGAGGCGGTGCGGGCAGCCTAAAGTCGCCCTCGCGCTGCCCTGCTGCCAGACTCGACTGTGCCTTGTTGGCCGACCCGCTCGGCTTGGATCCGCTCGCATCGCTGCTGCTGCTGCTGCCGGCGTCGGCTTGCTTGGCCGATGCGCCCACGGGCTGCATCTGGCTGTCGTCCTTGGTGCTGGTGGGAGGCGAGGAGTCGGCAGCGCCGGGCTTGGCGGCATTCTGGGGCACTTTGACCGAGCCTTTGGGTCGACCGGGCCGCTTGCCCTCTGGGTTTTCGCGCATGCTCCTCCTGCTGCGCCACTTGCCCGTGTTGTGGTCGAGGACGTACTCGCGGTCGGCCTGCTTCTTGCAGAGCGGCTTTTCCTTTTCCTTTTTCTTGGTGCTGCGCTGCGACTCGAGCTTCTCTGCGTCGCGATGGCAAGCCTCGCTGAGCGTGCGCGGCATGCTGGCCTTGCGACCCGAGCTGGACGCGGCCGTCGAGGCGTCGTAGTTGGGCGAGGTGGACTCGTCGCGCGCCTCGGCGTCTGCATTGGGCTTGTTGTGGCCATGGGGCGTGGCAGCAGCGCTGTAGGGAGACGCGGCATCCACGTCCGAGTTGGCGATGCGCGCGCGCTTGCTCGAGCCGGCCTCGACGGTGTCGCGTCGCCTCTTTGCGGCGTCGGCGAGCGCCTTGCGCTCTCGGTAGGCCTTGGTGGCGTGCTCCTTCCTCCAGACGTACTCGGGACGCGAGTTGTTCCACTTGAGATAGTAGAGGCCGCACGGGTTGCAGGCGGACCAGCGCGATTCGCCGTCGGCGTGGACGGGGCTCTGTGTGGCATCGTAGCGCGGCTTCCAGCCGGACTCGGAGTCGTCGGCGGCGCTGGCATCGTTGGTTGTTGCTGCCGGCTTTTCTGCGGCGGGGTTGTTGATGATGCTGCCTGCGGGAAGCTTGAGGATGCGCCAGGTGGTGGGTACGTTGGTGCCGCAGTTGTAGCAGATGCGATTGGCGGACTCGTGCTCCTTGCGCTGGATCGAGGGGCTGGGAGCGGCGTCGTCGTGGTCCAATGCCGGCGAGGATGCGGATGGGCGGCGCGAGATGTGCTCGGAAAAGCCGAGCTGAGGCGAGTCCTTTGTGATTGCTTGTGCCGGTAGACTGACTCTGCGATTCTCCTTGCCCGACTGGAGGGTAGCTGGTGCTGGTGCTGTGGCGGTGGAGGCGCCCTCGGCTGGGTGTGGCGCTGGCGAGCGTGCGTTGGGCACGGGGATGGGTTCGAGAGGACGGAGTGCAGGCGAAGAGAGCGGGGCTTCGGAGGGGGAGGCGGGAGAGGCTGTGCCAAAGACCTGGGCGACCTGTTGGAGCAGGTTTTCGAGTTGAGCCTGCTGTGCGGGTTCTGGAGCCGATTTGGAGGAACGCTGCTGGAGGCTGTGAAGGATGGTGAGGAGCTGGAGCGTGGACGGGTTGGCAGCGGCTGCGGACGAGACTGCGGATGGAGACGCGGCGGACTGAGGAGGCTGTTGGGTGGAAGAGGAGGAGGATGGAGCGAAGGTGGGATGCAGGGGCAGGCCGGGTGCGGGGCCGAGCTGCTGGGATGTCGTCTTTGGCGAGAGGTCGCGCTGGGGCTGTGCGTCTGCCGAGGGTGGCGCGTGGCGATGCAGGGAGCGTGCGAGGGACCTGCGAGGGTGAGTGTCGATGGGACTGTCTGCGGATGTGGGATAGTCGGGCTCGGAGTGGAGCGTCAGGTGCTGGTCGCGATGGGAATGGCGCGAAGGGAAGCGGTGTGTGGGCGAAGTGGGCTCGATGTGGGATGTGCGCGACGAGGATGGCGCTCGCGAGTTTGACGCGGCACTGAAGCTGGATGTGGACGCC